TTCGTGTATCTCTTCTTTCTTCTCTCTCTCTCTCTCTCTCTCTCTCTCTCGCTCGCTCTTTCTCTCTCGTTCTTTCGTTTCCTATCTACTTTTTTTCTTTTTTTTTCTTCTTTCGAAGAGATTTCGAGAGAAGTGATAACGATCCTTTGTTCGTTTGCTGATTATGTTGAAAAGATATTGTAAAAGAGTCGTAGGATTTTGGGAGGAAATATCGATAAATGGATTGAATTACCTTGTAGGTCTGACTATACGCGTTCCAATACCACTGGCAATGTCACTGTGAAATTTTTATCTTCTCGAATAAAATATTTCTTTTCTTTTTTAAAAAAAAAATAATACATTTGATTGGAACAATTTTTTAAACGCGTAATTACTGTTTCCAGGATTTGATTACTCTCTTCGAATATTTTGCAATATTTTTTTTTTTTTTCTTCAACTTCTTCTCTTTTGATGTAACCTAATGTACGAATACGAATATTTTAATTTTATATTCGCACCATATATAGTGTATTTATGTGAAAATTGTTGCATTTTATTTAAAATATACATTTCCCTCGATAATATAATTAGAATATCGAAATTATCGTCTCGTAAAGAATATTTGGAAATTAATAAAATACGTATCACGTCATTGGAAAAATCCAATGCGAAAAGTATCTTCACGTCCATAAAGTGGTCGGTATTTACCGTGTGACGTTTATTTGCATGCATATTGACGGAATAAATTACGAAATTATAGCACAAAACCGAATCCAGTGATATTTCCTCGAAACAAAATATAACTAAAAAAAAAAAAAAAAAACAATACTGATTTTAAATCATTTATTTAAAACTTGCTTATGAAAATGTTCAATTTTAATTCTCCACCAATCGTTCGATCGTTTTAATCGTTCATTTTCACGCACACATCTAAAATCGTAATACGAATCTGAAAACGATTCCTCATGCAAAAACGAAAGCCTTCATTTTTTGAAAAATGGAAATCGACCATACAATTTCCATCACAAAGTTCCATGCATACGTTTGAAAAATGATAATTAATTAATTAAATATTTCCATAAATGCAAAAGGAAAAGATTTTTTTTCAAAACGAAACCTTTCTTTGAAATTATTCCATTCCATATTTTTTTTCTTTTTTTTTACTTTTTAGAAATCTCCTCTTTTAAAATTTTTTCAAATAAACACTCCTAATTTATCTGATACACTGCCAAAGAAGCGTCAATAAATAACCTTTAATTTGCAAATAAATCACGAATACGCATTTTCCAAATGTTTCTTTAATTTAGAAAAAAAAATTACGACATCTATTCACACCTAATTTCGCCCGATACCTGGAATTCGACGCGGGTCCAAAAAGTAATCCGACCACCAATCATCCA